TCCGTACGCTTTGCATAGTTGTCCATAGTTGTCTGTCAAAATTATTTTTTTGAAAAATGCTGAAAGTTTCAAAGAGATCTTCGCTCTAAAAGTATTCTAAAATGTGAAGAATACAACCCCGGGAGTACAAAATGACCCCAGGGCGTACGGATAGGGTTAACATATCGCGACCTCAGTGCTTTCTTGTCGTATTTCCATTTTTGTAAACAGTGAAAATGTGACTTCTTCTTAAGCTCACTGTTTGTTATGAACTGTTTTTACTGTTATTAAAAACGGAGATACGATAAGAAAGCACTGAGGTGGCGATATATATGTGCAACTTAAAATTCAGAGTGTTGCAAGCCATCAGTACACGATAAAACAATTTGAGAGAGAGATATAGTAAAAGAATTTCTAAAACAAATACAAATTATGACGTTTTATTTCATAAGAAACCCTGTCAGGCGTCCGTTTTGTCCTTCGGAAAGGCAATTTACATGAATTTTTATCACTTCACCGCTTCACCCGAATGGGAATGTTGAGGCTACCCACTAGAGACAGCAAACGATCTTGTCAGTTTGTTAGTGTTTCAAGTAGCCTACTTACGCTGTTAATTTCATCAATATGGAAGGTGAACCAAGGTTTATCTTAGTTCTGGTTCTAATGTAAAATAAAAACCACCTGTGTGAATTCTCCATTAGGCTTGACTGTCAAGATTCCCAGCCTCATGTCGGCCACATACAAGTTGCCTTGCTTGTCAGCTTGGCACCCAGCCGGAATTCCCCCATCCCCATCAACCTGAGGCTCACACAAAATAGTTTCCTGCAAAAAATAAAATATTCATTAATTTGAAATTCATGTTTCATCTTTCAAAGAGTGGTTAGTGTATTATTATGACGGCAATTTCAGTCCTTATCCAATAAGAGGTCTAGAAGCAAGAAAAAAAAATATCGACCTACATTCACTTTCATTTCAATGAAAAGTGGAGGTCGTATCCCGCATCATACAGCCCTCAACAACAACAACGTATGAAATGAGCACTCTGTACAGCCAGCCTACACCGCATTCTCTAACCCTCTTGCCTTGATCTGGGCAATGGCAAAAGGCTAGACATGATATCACCATCTTCCCATTCAAAGACAGCAAATGCCTAGAGACGTCAAATGTTTGGTTTCATTCTCGCCGCTATCGATCACCCATTCAACTTCCACCTCTGACAGTGCTACGAAGAAGGTCAAAGAAGACAACAAGATCTAAAAATACCCTGACTATATCGATATCAACAGCAAAGACTTTGTCTCGGAGGCCATCATAAAGCCCTCTTGATAATCCAGCTCCTTCACAAAAAGTCAATCAGAGGTTGACAAACGCTCCTCTGGCAGAAATGTCTTTAGGCCATTCCCAAAGGAGGGACATTAACATGTTCTGTTGCACAGTAGAATTGTAAATGGGCTGATTCATCACTGTCTTGCTCATATAACTGTGCCTGAACTGCAACAGGGAACTGCTGCTTTTTCTTTCCTAATCCTTAGTATCATCATTTTCCTCTACTTCTTTCGCATGTTTGTCACACTATTGTGACCCGCTATTTCCGGATTGATAGTCGAAGCAGACTTTGTGCTGTTGAAGCTAGAGAGGTGAGCAGAGAGTGTAAGCCTGATTCCCTGTAAGGACTTAGTCTGTTGACATCCATCCCTTGGCGCTCATATTATGACCTTATGCAGTTGCGAGAGCCGTAAAACCTCTACTAGATCTAGATCTAGATCTCGATCTACTAAAACTAAAAACTACTCTGGCATTCCCACGGAAACAAAGTAGTTTAGAAAGAATCTCCCTTACAATTGTCAGAGTTAGAGGTAATGTTTTTAAAAATCAATATTGGCGGCCCTTCAAGCATTTATATAAACTTGTATAATATATCAGTGAACGATGCAACAACTGTAACCCGCCAGTAAACCCAGATCCCCGTAAGTGTAAGTTAGTGTCTTTATTATTTCATCATAGTATCTTCACTCTAACAACAGACAGAAATGCATGGTCGTTGCCTGCTTTTT